CTCATCTTCACCAACTCCCGCCGAAATCTCACCTTTCTCTCCTCGCAGGTGCACCTTGTTTCTTATCTAAACTCTCTCTACACTCGTATTGTTGGTACAATGAATTTTGTTTGATATATAAAAACCTAATTTGAATGACTTATGTTGTCAAATGTTACTAATCATGTCTGGACATTGGAGTACTAAAGTATACAGTGCATGATTGTTCTTGAATGTTGTATAAGACTATGCTTTGCCACGATTCATAGGAACAAAAGCTTCCACAGCGTGAGTGTATGAAGAAAATCTTAATCGAACATGTTTTCAGGTGTTTCTATTTCATGATCTGCTAAGGAAGGAGGAGAAAGCTAGATATAGTTTGTGCTGTTCTTTATCAATTAAAGAGCAAAACACGCCAAATTGCTTTTCAGCTCCAAATATTAATGATGGATACAAAAGATTTACACCGTCTCTTGAGCAGTTTGAGAAGAGATTAGTTTTATGTTGCGGTTTGTTTGTTCTGAAGACGAAATGCATTCCCGGGCCCAGAAAAATATCCATCAGCATCCAAAATTCACTACAATTCTCTGCACGGTTTAATAATATTGTTCCTGCCTTTTCTGTGAGTAATTTTGTTCTTGGCGTGATGCTTGTCATGACATTGGGTTCCACCGTTGCCAAAACTCCTTCCTGTAAGTTTTACAGTATTGAATAACTTGAATTTTTAGAGTGTTTTTCATTTTTCTGTAATGCTTTCCCTTTTGAACTGTGTAGTGGCCCTTACTGAAGAAAATCTTCTTTTCTTGGAGGCATGGAGGACACTTGACCGTGCATATGTTGATAAAACATTCAATGGGCAGAGTTGGTTTAGGTATAGAGAAAATGCACTACGCAATGAGCCTATGAAGACAAGAGAAGAGACCTGTAAGCCTTGCTGTATTGATGTTCTGTAATGTACTATCTAATCATTTTAAGTTTTGCGAGTGATACTGGGAATGGCTTTTGTCTTGCTACTTTCTTTTTCTCACTTCCAGATATAGCTGCAGTTATTTTTATTTTTTTATTTTTTTTAAGGAGTTTGTCAAGCATTTGTTGACAGTTTTCATTATTTATGTCCACAAATGTGTTGTGTGCTCTAATCTCTTTTTTTACTTCCCTGCAGATGCGGCTATTAGAAAGATGGTTGCTACACTTGATGACCCTTTCACTCGGTTTTTGGAGCCTAAAAAATTTAAGAGTCTGCGGGTATATTTCTGCTGTGAAATACTTGGATGAGGAGGCATCCTCATACTCTGAGCAAAATATTTATTCTAGCTTTTTTCGTTTAATCACGAGGTGATTGGTATTTTTGTTTTTTTTGAAGGCAGTCAGGAACACGAAATACTCTCACTGGAGTAGGGATTTCCATTGGTTACCCTACCGGAAAAGATAAATTGACCTCTGGGCTGGTGGTTGTCTCTGCTGCCCCAGGAGGTCCGGCAAATAGGGCTGGAGTTCATTCTGGGGATTTAATTCTTGCAATTGATGATATGAGTACTGAGAGCATGGGAATATATGATGCTGCTGAACTCTTGCAGTAATTGTTTCTTTTCTTTTCTTTTCTTTTCTTTTTTTATTTTTTCCTAAGACTCATTGGAGTTAGTAAAAAATCAAAATTGTGATGATATTTTACCCTTGTTATCTTTTAATCATCAGTCTTCTTTCCAAACTACCAGGGTTGTTTTTTAACCTGATATTTGGCTTTAGAGGAAAACTCAAAGACAAAGCTCTTCAAAGGTGTTTGTAACATCATGTATTTGTTTCAGTTGTTCCTTAGTTTGGTAGTCACTTCAATTATATGTTATACTTTTTGCATAGATATCCAGTGACATCGGGAAAGTTATCTTTCTCGTTTTTTTTCCTCATCTTTTCTTTTCAATTTTGCAGTCCATTGGTGTCTGATGATTTTATTTTTGTCACTATCTTGCTAATTCTTTTTTTTT